ATATTGTAGTAGAGAATTAGCCAAGTATCTTGGTAGGTTAGGCTTTAAGTTTGAGTAAGACCCTGAGATGTAATAGTAAAAGTTAAAAACTACAGAAGTAATAAGAAACTTGCCAAAGAGGAATTATAAATTAAATTTTGATGTGTTAAATTTAGATGTTATGGGAAATTCAAAGAATGGTTTAGACAGAAGTCAGGATTAGGAATATGGATTTAGTTTGTTGTTTTAATTTTGTCGCTCCCATAAATGATGGTGATTGGGTTCAGGGTCATTTCTTCATCTTCTGTATTTGCCATTGTACTTAGGAGAGCTCTTACCCCAATGTGAAGTAGAATTTCATAGAGTTCATATGAATGTGATAAACTAGATAATGCATTGGAGGAAGAAAGCATAAAGAGAGAAGGGCTGAGAGTAGAAGTTGAGTGTCTGCCTACATTTGTAGAAGTAAGGGAAGCTCTCTCTCCTTCTAGGCTTCATGCCAGGTTCAGCAGTAGCCTCAGAGATGGAGAGTTCAGCCAGTCTAGAGCAGCTAGGCACTCAGTCCTGTACTTTCCCATAAATCTAGATTTTTGACCTATTCTTGGAAAAGCCTACCAATACTGGCAATTTTATTAAGCATTATTGGACATCTCACTAGTCTATTCCAACACTGAACAAGTGCTTTCTGTGTTTTTTAGGTTGTAAAAACTGGACTTGAGCAAGGGAGTGAAGCTGGTTATCTTGCTGAATCACAGGTAAAGTTCATTCCTTCCAATTTTTTATTACTTATTGCAGGGAAACCAAAGATCCAATACTCTGTTTAAAGTAGGAAAAAAAATATTCAAAGCCTAATATATCTTTTTCTTCAGTGGTTGTCATTTCTCAGTGAACAAGTTGATGCTGAGAAAATACTGGTGGTCTGCAGATGTTTGAACTTGCTCTCCATAATGAAATCATAACTAGAAGGAATAGCAGCAGAGTTATAACCTTTTCAGAATGAATCTCTTGGACAATTTTTTGTATTTTGTTTGTTTTGTGGTAGTGAGAATTGAACCCAGAGGTACTCTACCTTTTTTTTTTTTTTTTCCAGATGGTTTTGCCAAGTTGCCCAGGCTGACCTCCAATTTGTGATCCTCCTGCCTCAGCCTTCTGGTAGCTAGGATCACAGGCATGCACCACCGTGCCCAGCACTTGAATAGTTTTGTTCTGAATTTGAGCTGATTTGTTGTGGCAAAATGAATACATTGATAAGAGTACCTGTTAGGACCTAGAGATGAAATGTTGAAGCCCAGCTTCTTTTTGGTGATTACAAAATGAAAAGAAATGTCTCATACCCAGTGAAAGACAAAGGTAGGCTGGGTACAGTAGCACAGATACAGGGTCTTGCTAATAAGTTCCTAAGGGTCTCACTAAACTGCTGAGATTGGCCTTGAACTTGAGATCTTCCTGTCTCTGTCTTCTGCCTGGCTGGGATTACAAGCCTATGCCATTTTTCAGAGCCAGTATTCAAACCCAATTGTGTCAAACCCTGACTCTAAATATTATGCTATTAACCCCTAAATTGATATACTTTTTAAAGTGGTGGTAGGTATCTTGCAGGGCAGCCTAATATTGTGGAAAAAGAACAAGAGAGTTAGGAGTTGACTTAGGAGTCAAGTTCCATTTCTGCCATTTTGAGGTAGTATGGCTTTAAACAGCAGAGACAGTTCATATGTCTGGGCCTCTTCTTCCCAACTCGAATAAAGCAGTTGGAGACATTTGTGAAGGCCTGTTTGCCTCTGAGACATAGTTTTGTGACAAAGAATACTACATTTCTGCTTTAAAGAATCCAAGAGCTAGGGGTTGGGGTTGTGACTCAGAGGCAGAGTGCTTGCCTAACATGTGTGAGGCACTGGGTTTGATCCTCAGCACCATGTAAAAATAAAGTAAAGATATTGTGTCCACCTATAACTAAAAAATAAATATTAGAAAAAAAGAATCCAAGAGCTAAGTTGATGCTGAAAAAATACTGGTGGTCTACAGATGTTTGAACTTGCTCTCCATAATGAAATCGTAACTAGAAGGAATAGCATTTTGTTTGAAAGCATTAGTTAGAACATGCTGCGGATGAGGATTTAAAAAAAAAAATCGGGGCTAGGGTTGTGGCTCAGTGATAGAGCACTTTCCTAGCATGTGTGAGGCACTGGGTTAAATTCTCAGCACCGCATATAAATAAATGAACAAAATAAAGGTTCATCAACGTCTAAAAAAAAAATCAGTGGGAGATAGCATAGCCACCACTGAGTCTCCTGAACACCCCTGGGAAACCGAGGTGTTATGAATACCACCTGTGCTCTGCAGAGAAAAACAAACCAAAGGAATACAAGTCACTCAGACTGTAAATTTCTACCTTTTCTTGTTCTTTACTTTTCAGAAATTTGGAGAGCTGGCATTGACCAAAGAATCAAAAGCCTTGGTGGGACTATATCATGGCCAAGTCCTGTGCAAGAAAAATAAAGTTGGAGCCCCACAGAAGGATGTTAAGTAAGTTAAACTTAGAAGCCATGGTGAACCTTACTGTGTGCAAGCTTACAGATGTTTTTGAAGATCTGCAAAACTAGGTTTATGTGTTAATTTGGTCTTGCCCTCAAGCTCTCCTATCTGAGCACATTAGAGCCTTTATTTACTCCAAGAACATTTTGTCTTTCAAAATTCTGCCTGTTCTGAGTTTTCTCTGTTCCTATAGTGACTCCTATCAATCACTTCCTTGTCTTAGATATTAATGTCCCTGAGAAATCCAATTTAGATCCCCCTTCCTGAATGTACTCTGTATCCAATGGTCTTTTCTCTCTCTCTCTCTGACCTGAGATGCCATCTCTGGGAATTCACTTCTTCCTCATTAAAAAATATAAAGCATCATTATCATTGTTAAAACCTTCTGCTTCTGGGCTGGGGATATAGGTCAATTGGTAGAGTGCTAGCCTTACATGCACAAGGCCCTGGATTCAATCCCCAGCACCACAAAAAATAAAATAAAATAAAATCTTCTGTTTCTTTTAGCTTACAACTTAAGCAGTGAGATGGTATTTGCCTGTTTCAGGTGAACTCATCATAATCCTTTTTTTTTAATGTTATGCTGCTTTTCAGCATCTTCTATTTAATGTGTCCCTACCTTAGCTCAGGGCTTCTCAACCTGGACGATTTTATCCACTCCAGGAGACATTTGAGTGTGTGAGAACGTTTTTTGGTAATCACAACTGGGGAGGAAGAGATGTTACTGATATGTAATGGTTAGAGGCTAGGGATAGGCACAGAATAGCCTCTACCGCATGACTTACTTAACCCAAAACAGTAGCAGTACTGATCTTGAAAAACCTGTTCTAGCTGAATTTCAATGAGGGAGAAGCAACTAAAGTTCCTTCCTTCTTCTTCAGCTCACCTTTAATGAGATAACACCTAAATTAGAAGATAAAGTAGAAAAGAAGCTGGGTGAGACAGATAAGATTCTAGCCAGGAGGGCTGATTTCCAAATAATATCTGAAATACAACCTTAAAATCCTTCTCCAGCACACTTACTGATTGGTATCAGACCAATTGTGTTTGTTACCTAAGAGTAACAGTACCTTTTATTTAATGGTCTGGCAAATTACTCTTATGTTGCAGTAGAATAATGATGGCCACTTAAAAATACACCTTTTCAACTGGACACGGTGGCTCATGCCTGTACTCCCAGTGGCTTAGAAGATTGAAGCAGGAGGATTATAAGTTCAAAACCAGCCTCAGTAAAAGCAAGGCACTAAGCAACTCAGTGGGACCCTGTCTCTAAATAAAATACAAAATAGGGCTGGGGATCTGGTCAGTGCTCAAATGCCCCTGAGTTCAATCCCTAGTACCAAAGAAAGAAAAAGAAAAAACAATACACATTTTCACACGTTGTCTAAAGATCAAACAGATTAATGAGGAAAACAAGCCCTATTCCTCATGTATAGCAAAAACAGAAGGCAGAGAGTATTGCTAACTTCTTCTTCTTTTTTTTTTTTAATGGGAGCTCAGTGCTTATTATATTGTACAAACACAATTTAAGTACATGGTAAAGTCTTACAGCACTCCCAGAAGGTTCAAGTGATAGTCAAAGATTGGACTGAATTTAGTGTTCATCCGCAACAATTTTTAAAATTATATAAAAAGTTTTGACCTTCTCTTTTTTTGTTATTATTTTATTTGTTCTTTGAGTATTGCTAAGCTCTAAGAGGGGGACTTTATTGTGACAAGAAAGAAAGGAAGGACGAAACAAAAATGTTAAGAATTGACCCTACCTAATATCTTCACCCCCATCCCTCCACGTACACAATGTTGTCAATTAAAGAAACTGTACTTCCAGCCAGGCGCAGTGGCACACACCTGTAATCCCAGTTACTTGGTAAGCAGATCGGAAGTTCAAGGCCAGCTCTGGCAACTTAACAAGACCTTATCTCAAAATAGAAAAGGCTAGGGATGTAGTCAGTGGGATGTGGCCACTGGGTTCAGTCCTCAGTAGAGAAAGAGAGAGAAGGAAAGGCAGACAGGCACTTTATAATACACTTGGTAATATAAAAAACCTAGCATGCCACTTCACACTGCTATTCCTGTCTGCATATTACTCTTATTGTTATATTTAGGTACATTATGTATTTTGTACGAACTATACAAAAAGGGAGGCATCATCCATTAAAGCTAATGTAAGGAAAAAATAGAAAATGAATGAAAATCAAAGCACTTAAGCTTATGAACATTACCCTCCCAATCACAATGAAGAAAAACATTATACCAGAAAATTCCCAAACTTGAATTAAATATCCTTAAATAAGCACTTGTAGTTAAGACAGAAATCACCTTGAATCAAAAATTCAAAAACTTAAAATTAAACGGATAGAAAAACAGAATGACCTAAGAGTTGACCTAATTTGAGAAAGAACTGAAGAAAAAGACAGTAGATAAATTTTGAAATTTTAGGAGATGCTTCCTGGATTTGAAGTTAGTCTTCCTTTTCAGACTTGAGTATGTTTGTTTTTTTTTTTTTTTTTTTTTTTTTTTAGTCATAGATGGACAGCATGCCTTTATTTGTTTATTTTTATGTGGTGCTAAGGATCAAACCCAGGGCCTCACACATGCTAGGCAAGTGCTCTGCCAACTGAGCTACGGCCTCAGCCCTCCAGTATAACTTTCTAACATTATAACCAGAATGGTTAGGAATGAAACTTTACCCCTCATTTCACCTCTAATTTACATCTACAGAACTATAAGTCTAGGGTTCTTTAATGAAGGAAGTATTTCTTTAATTTTTTTTAAGTTGTTTACTGTGGTAATATGGCATATTGTTCCAGAACTATGGAGAACTGAAAATAATCACACATGATTTCTGGTCTTCAGAAAGCTTAGAATTTATTTGAGGAAACAGTGAGCTTGTACATGAAGCCACTGCAGAATACACTGGAATAAATCAAGTGGTCCTAACAAGTTCAAGAGGAATCAGGGGTGAAAAGGTAGGGATGTGCACCTGTAGAGGCACCGGAGAGGGGAGGACCTGGATCAGCTAGTGACTTTTAGCTGAGATCTTCAAAACTCATCCAGGTGAAGGGCAAGAGAGGCCCACATATCAGGAGAAATGAAAGACGGCTGGAAAATGGTAAAATCACTAACAAATCACTGCTTAACAAGTAAAAAATAGTTAGTCTTCAGACATGTCACTGCCAGTTGGCCTTTGTTCAAAAAACTAAAATATCCATGTTGGTTTAGGCTTAGGAGGGGTGGTGTCATTTTCCATGATCTTCAGGCACTATTGGGAATTAGTATAGTTCTGGGAAGACCTGTTCTTTTAGACCCAAAAGATGTTTGCATTTCACTTTAAAAATCAATTATTTATTAAAACTGTATTTGTATAGGTAAAAAATATTTAAAGCACCTCATAGTTCCCTGCTTGAGTTAGTTTATTGGATGATAACTTGGGCAACCTCCCACTTTTACTGAAACAAGTAAGAGTTCTTTCCCAGAATCATTTCATCCTTTGCTTTCAGGCATTTAGGTATTCTTGGTGCAGGGCTTATGGGAGCTGGCATCGCCCAAGTCTCCGTGGACAAGGGGCTGAAGACCCTTCTTAAAGACACTACGGTAGCTGGACTGGGACGGGGACAGCAACAAGTGTTCAAAGGGTAAGGATGCTCTCTGTTTTTGCAAGGAGTAAAAATGTTTTACGGGGTTTTTGGTATCTTGGTTTGGGGGTATGGTTTGTCATCAGAGATTCCTTTGCCCTGAACACATAATACTCCATAGTTAAGTTACATTTTCTTTGATTTTTAGAAACACTAATTCCTTCTTGCACTTCAAGGTAGCATGAACTTTAACATCTCTGGAATCTGTAGTCTTTGAGTGCCAAAGGGAAAACCTTTTCCAGTAGATATTTTGTTTGTTTTGTTTTCTCGGTTAGTTCGTATTTTTAAATGCCGTTTATCTTATGCTTTGGTGTCAGACTAGAAATCCTCAGGCCTGTGGGTTTTACTGCAGTTTACATGTAGTTGCTGTTGTGTAATGGCTTCCTAAACCAGCAGGACAGTATCTCTGTTGAGAGGGCTGAGGCTGGGATGTGAGGGAATGTGCAGGTAAAAGCCAGACCAGTCGAGACTCTTGGGCCTTGTCTTTCTTGACTGTCATGACAAGGCAAAGCCATTTCCTGCTGAGTCCCTAACAGCTGAGGCTTTGCAGACTGTGTCTCCGTCTTACTCTGAATTGACAAGGGTGGCTTATTCTCCCCCTCCCTACCTGCCCACTCACCCCACACACGTACCGCCAGTTTTGCTGAGGGGATATGCAGCAGCAGCTTGGCCAACCTGGGGTTGGTCTCAGCACTGTGTGCTGCTCAAGCATGATGGACAAGCTGGCTGCACTTAGACCGTCCTGCTAGTGACTTTTAGCTGAGTGAGCTTTTTTTGTTTCTTAAATGGATTTATGTAGCTGAAGCACATTGTTAACATTTGTACAGGAGTTCATACACTGCTACCCTAATGCTAGGACCTGTTGGGAGCTTATTGTAAGATAAAAAGGAATTGTAATAAAAGATTCTGACCCTCCACACACACAAAAAAAATGGTGTATGCTAGAGAAATAGCAGCATTTCTCTGAAACTTGTAAACAAGTATCCCCACACAGCATTTAATACAGTCACCAAAAAGAGAAATTGTTGCTCTATGATAGCTTCTTTCTGTGACCTGTCTGGGTACAGCCATCCCAGCTTTACTTTTCATCTCAGAAACCTCAGGTTCTGACAAGGCTCACTCACCATGCAAGTGACTTGGGACATCATTCCTGTCCCCTCCCAATTTATTGGCAGTAAGAGCTGGGGATGTGGCTTAGTGATAAAAAGGAAGAAAGAAACGAAACCAAGAGGTTTGAGCCCATACATTCAAGATCTTAATTTGATATATCTTTTAACTTATCTGTGGCTTTGTTTTTCTGTTGGTTACAGAAATTGGTGAATGGAATTTAGCTTTATACTTCAGTAGAGGAAAGCTCTAGGTTATTTATTCTGAATGTGTGGTTAGATTAAATCTAAAAGAGTCTGTTTTCATTGGCAATAAAATACACTGAGTAGCAGGAATCCTTTGTAGCTGCCTTTGGAAAGGGAGAAACCTTGAGTTAATGTTTTATGTGATAAATGCAATGAGCTACTAGGTGCTGAGCGAGAAGGGGATTGAAGAGAACCACCTAAGGCTTCCTCTAGAAGATTACAGGTAGAGAACACTGTGAGTGATGACAACCAGTGTGACAACCAGGTGGTTTAGTTAGAGAATTAAAACAGTTGCTCTTCTGTTCTGCCATTCTCATATTTGAGTTATTTACTCCTCCTGGCAAATTGAACTGTTTTATGAGGGATACAGTTAATGTAAGTTGGGCATTTAGAGGTTATTTTGTATTGAAAGTATATGCACTTGGGGGTCAGCTGGTTTTTGAAAGCTACCTTATCTTAACTAGCCATAAAAGAAGCTCCGAGCTTCTTTGAGCTATTACCCCTCAAGATGGGGGTAATAAAATAACTCCTTCACAGAGCTGTAAAAAACACACAGTGACACTGTAGCCCGTGGACACTCAATAAATGCCACTCTCCTTTCTTTTTGTCTAGATTAAACGACAAAGTGAAGAAGAAAGCTCTAACATCATTTGAAAGGGATTCCATCTTTAGCAACTTGATTGGGCAACTTGATTACCAGGGTTTTGAAAAGGTCGACATGGTGATTGAAGCTGTTTTTGAGGACCTCAATGTTAAGCACAAAGTACTAAAGGAAGTAGAAACAGTAAGTAAGAGGCTTGACACATTTGGACCCTAGTGGAATGAGTGGGGAAACTGAGGGATTTTTAAAGAACTAGTGTGAAACTCGTGGTTCTCTATACAGCACTATTTGTTTCCAAACATAGGGTTTTTTTTTTTAATTGGTTTTTTAAAAAATGTTTTTAGCACTAGATGGACTAACAACTTTATTTATTTTTATGTGGTTTGAGGATCAAAACCAGTGCCTCGCATGTGCTAGGCAAGCACTCCACCACTGAGCCATAACCCGAGCCCCTAGACATAAGTTTTTGTGTGAGCTCAGGAACTCTCCATGGTAGAAAGGTCAGATCTAAATCATAAGGGAAGAAAATTAAATAGCTTATTAACCTAAACACAGGGTTCATTGGCTTTATTTATGAGGAGAGATCATCACTCAAAATACAAATAACTTGATGGAATTATATAGCCAGATGTTTTGAGATTTTGGTTGGCTTCGAGTGATAACCAAATTTCTTCTAGGCAGCAAAGGACTCCAGGCAGGAGTCAAATGCGTGTTCATGGAAATGCTACTCTGATCCTTCTCCCAAATGCTCTGAGACAGGATGACATGAGTAATAGGAGTCCTTGGTGGTGGTATCAAGAAAGAGCCTAGAAAGAGAGAGATGGCAGTAATCTGGACATGAGGCAGGACCACAGCTAAGCATGTCCCAGGAGAGGAAGAATTGTTGTCAGCCATTTTTGTGTGAGGCGAGAGTGGTAACCATTACACTACAAATTGAGACTGTTGCCAGCCATTTTGGAGACATTAGTTTGCTCTTCCTAGAGGATTTTTCCGCCAGTACTTGACACTAATGACACATTTTGAGACAGCTCACTTAGTCATGCCATACTGTCAAGTCTCATTCCACTTTCAATTAACTAAAATCATGGGATCTTTATCACAGGTTTACTGCCAACCCAGGTCTTTTCCCTCGTGTGCCTATAGAGTTCTTTCTTTTTCTTTTCCTTTTTTTGAATCTTAATGCAATACTTTATCTTTATCTCTGTCATAATTGATCTTATTTTATACTCATCTTTTTGGTATGTTAACCTATCTGCAGCCTTAATTCTCATCTCTGATATTTTGATCCTGCCAATCCCAGACTTGTGCAAATTTAACAGGTGCATCTTCCATGTTTTTCACCCAAGCATTTGAATTAAAACAAGAATAAGTTGGAGGATGGGGCTGTGGCTAGCAGTAGAGCACTTGCCTTGCACATATAAGGCCCTGGTTCAATCCTCAGCACCACATAAAAATAAACAAATAAAATAAAGAATTGAGTCCATTTACAACTAAAATAATATTTAAAAAAAAAAAGAATAAGTTTGGATCAGAGACAGAATGCTGTGTTAGAGATTATCCTCCAGGCTAATAAAGTCCACAGTGTTCATGTACTGTGGATATAATTGTAGTGATATACCACTTTTTATTAATACACTATAAAAAAATGAGCTAGGCATGCATGTATGTCTCATTTTTTAAAGGTCAAGGCAGGAGTGGAGGATGTCATAAGCTTTCAGACTTGAGGACAGATCCCAATAAGAAGAGGTGTTGAATCCATGCTGAGTCTTCAAATAAATGAAATTTGATTTAAGACCATCTTGTTAGTATCTAAGGATTTTTCTTTTCTTTTGAGATGCTAGGGATTGAACCCAGGGCCTTACACATGCAAAACAAGTGCTGTGCCACTGAGCTACCAGCAGCCTGCATCTAAGACATCTTATTTATTCAACTGCTGAGATATACTCTCCAGGTCAGGACCTTATGATAGACCATATCTAGACTGAACAGGAAAAAGAATAAGGTCAACACATTCCCCAAAACAAAAGCTTGGGTGATCTGAAATGTCTGGGTGAGTGCTGTTTGTTGTCTGAGCCTTATGGTAAGAGGGTGGGCCTGGCCCACCTGACCCTTCTTAGCTTTGCTACAGACTCTGTCATCTCCAGGCCTATGTGACACATTCTTAAATGCTTTTCCCTTGCAGGTGATTCCAGATCACTGTATCTTTGCCAGTAACACATCTGCTCTCCCAATCAATGAAATTGCTGCTGTCAGCAAAAGACCTGAGAAGGTAATCTCTGAACAGAGAAAAACCCTGAAATGTTTTACTGCTTCAGACTCACTGATGAAAGGCTTAGAATATAAATAAGAGAAATCACAGTTTGGATTATGAAGTGGAGGAGTGATTCCCAAAAATTGGGCACAGGAAAGTTAGGCCATGACCAATGTAAGGTACAGTAATAAGTGAAGTACAACTAAATATACGTACATTGGTTATTTGCATCCTAATTGGTATTGGTTTTCATCCTTTATCCTCTAATTAGACATTGAAGGATAGGCCCTAAAATAAGAATAAAATATCCATTTGGCTACAGAGCAGTCTAGTAATTGTTTAGAATAGGTTGATAGGGGTAAGGTGGCCTGTGTCTACCCATGGCTTTGATTAGACCTTCTGCCCAGGACATGAAAAGGCTGGTGCAGAAGCACCTAAGTATTTTAGACCAAAGTAAAAGAACAGTTCAGAGTATAGAAGAAACTTTTGGATTGATAAGTGTAGATAACATTTAATTGATAAAGATCAGTGGTCAGACTTCAGGGACAGCTGACCGGTGATGGCATCCCTCCCTGCTATTTATTAACTGACCCTGAGCTACTGATTTGAACCTCATGATGCCTTTTTTCCTCATCTAGATAACTTGACAAGTTCACAGAGTTATAATGGATTAAATGTTAGAAATAAATGATAAATGGATTAAAATAGTAGGTATTATTAGTTGTAACTAGTAACTAAAGTGGAGAGAGAAAGCAGAACTGTAAATTAATGAATTAGACTTCTTGCACAGTTTTGTTTTGAAGCCCATCAAATTGTTAGCTTTCTGAGACGGTTTTAAATGTTAGCATAAGACTGGGTATGGTAGCACACACTTGTCATTCCAACTACTCAGAAGATTGAGGCAGGAGAATTGCAAGCTCAGGGCCAGCCTGAGCAACCCTGTCTCAAAATAAAAAATAGAAAGGGCTGGGGAGTAGTAGAGTGTCCCTTCCCAGCATGCATGAGGCCCTGGGTTCTCTCCCAAGTGCCACAAAAATAAATAAAATGGTAGGATGCATCAGGATCATTGAGAAGATTCATTAAAACACAGATCCAGACCACACCCTCAGAGTTTTCTAATTCAGTAGGTCTGGCTTAGACTTTGGAATCCATACTTCTGGTGTTCATAGGTGATGTTAATGATGGTGGATCTGGGTACTACACTGTGAAAATCACTGGTTTAATGAGTCTACAGGTGCATAGGATTGTGCAGAAGTGTTTCTTAAGCTTAGAGTCCTAGTGGTAAGACTCATCTATGTAAAATGCAAATACATCTCTGACAGTCCAGCATATTAACCAATGCTTCTGCCTGTCCCTTCCCCATAAAATGTGGACCTCTCACCTAAACCATCATCATCATTACTATAAGTGGAATCTTCATCCATTCTTCCCCAGTAAATCTAGTTTGGCCTTTAGCTGTGACTTTGGCACTGATTGTTGGTAGACACAGATATCCTTAGAAACAAATGGAAGAGGAGGATTCTGGTTAGCTCACCTTAAACATACTGTACCTCTCATCAGAAATCCATGGAACTACATGACTTAACTATCAGCAGTATTCCTTATCACATTCACCTTTCCCTCCATTATTTTTCTAACAAAAAATGAAGGTGTCAGGTTCCCTCCTCAGCATTTGTAGATCTGTTGGCTTTGGCTCTCTTTGCCAGGTGATTGGTATGCACTACTTTTCTCCTGTGGACAAGATGCAGCTACTAGAGATCATCACAACAGAGAAAACATCCAAGGACACAACTGCTTCTGCTGTAGCAGTTGGTCTCAAGCAAGGGAAGGTCATCATTGTGGTCAAGGTGAGGAGCTGGGATTTTACAACACATTTGAAAGTTCTAAAAGGACTCCCTATACCTCCAGACTTGATAACTGTTTTCTGGAGCAAATATAGCAGTTTCAGATAATGCTGTCCCCTTGGTTGTTTCTGGAATATGACAGGATCCTCCCACTCATTCCAGGCCTTGAAGGTGACCATGGAACAATTTGTTGTGCCAGACTATCCCAGAATAACTTTCTTTGCAATTTAATATTAAAGACTCTCATTGAGATTTTAAATTCCCTTAAACTTTGAAATCACAGCTGGGAAAGCAAGACTTCTCGGACATGAGTAGTTCCAGTCAAAAGCAGACAATGAGTTCACCTTCTTTCCCTTGCAGGATGGACCTGGCTTCTACACCACCAGGTGTCTTGCACCCATGATGTCTGAAGTCATACGAATCCTCCAGGTGGGTATTACTTTGTGGAGCATTTGAGGCCTCTTCCACTCCTTCACTCAGGTCTCCAAACTGAAGATGTCAACAGGAGGTACAAGGCTCCTCTGAGTACACTAACTCCTGCTGCTTCTTCAGGAGGCCCTTTTGTACCCACCGTCTCTGTGCAGGAGTGGAAGTCATGTAGGCCACAGTAAATGGGCAGAGTTTGAACTCTGCTCCCTTAGACACTTGCCCAAACAGGAATCTCAGCGCTCTGCAGCATTGCTCCTTGGCAATACTGATGTATTTTACAGTCATGGTGCTCTCAGCCTTGTCACCTGTTGCATCTTCTTAGTATTGAGATTCAGAATTGCAAACATGGAAGGAAGTAGATAATTTGTTAATCTCTAAACTTCCTTCAAGTGCTATAGATCAAGAAGTTGCACACTTTCCACCTGTGCTTCCCTGCATGGAGTGCCAGTCCTGGGCATAGCCAGGTAAAACCCAGAGAAATTTTGCACAAGGCTATACCTGGGGCTAGCCAGAGGGAGTCCTTCTGTGTGTGTTGGGGAAGGATCTGAGATGGCCTTTCCCTGAGGCCCCTGCTTCACTTCCTATTCAGGAAGGAGTTGACCCTAAGAAGCTGGATTCCCTGACCACAGGCTTTGGCTTTCCTGTGGGTGCTGCTACCCTGGCGGATGAAGTTGGTGTGGATGTAGCGAAACATGTGGCAGAAGATCTGGGCAAAGCCTTTGGGGAGCGGTTTGGAGGTGGAAGCCCAGAGCTGCTGAACCAGATGGTGTCCAAGGGCTTCCTGGGTGAGTAGGCACAAGGAAACATGACTGGCGCCATTAGTTACAAAGTTCTGAGCATGGTCTTGAGAACATAGAATCACTGAAGGCCCACAGGGAAGAGTGTTTCTTAAACACTCAAGCCTGGTCATAGGGAGTTTCAAAAATGATTTCCTGGGCACCTAGTCCTATAAATTACAGACAAAAGACAGAGAGAAAGCCAGATGTGGTGGTGCACATCTGTAATTTCAGCAGCTTTCGGAGGCTGAGGGAGGAGAATTACAAATTCAAGACCAGCCCAGGCAGCTTAGCAAGACCCTGTCTCAAAGTAAAAAGGATGGAGGATATAGCTCAGTAGTAGAGCATCCCTGGGTTCAATCCCCAGTACCACCAAAAAAAAAAAAAAAAAGGTCTAGACTTCTAGGTCTCTGCCACTACCAGGTCCAAGAGGCATTTCTGTTCTACCTCTGCTACATCTGTGGAAATAGCAACATCTCTGCTAGGCCTTGCCTCCTGGGGCCTGGTGTTACATATCTGGACATGAAAGCTCATCTGAGCAGCCTTTTCAAGCAGATACAGATTTCCAAGCTCCAGAAATCACAAGATCTTCCTTCCTTCTCTGTCAGCTCTTCTGATAAAGATAGAATTTCAGGGTGAGCTGGATGCAGGGAAAAGACTGGAGCTTTACAGCAGGTAGCAGAGACAGGCACTCGTGGCCAGGGCTGGGAGAACAAGTAGTGATGCCGCCTCTTCTTTTCTTCTTTTAGGTCGCAAATCTGGGAAAGGCTTTTACATTTATCAGGAGGGCTCAAAGAATAAGAGTTTGAATTCTGACATGGATACTATTTTTGCAAGTCTGAGGCTTCCTGCTAAGCCCGAGGTGTAAGTCAGTTTGAGTGGCTCAGGGCAAGGAAACATACATTTCTGACAGCCCAAAGCTTCCTGGCCCCTGTTCTATTTCCCTTATGCTCACCTGAACCAAGAGAATGCTCCTGAAGCTGGCACAGGCTTTCTAGGCATGAAGCCCTTACACATGCCCTCAGTCTTGCAGACATCAGGTGAGAGTGGGTGGAGCCTGGCAGAGGCCCTGCCTGCACTAGCCTTCCCTGGGAAGGTCCAGAGAGCAGCTGGAAGGGTGGTCATCTTGGCTCCTTCATCCTCCCAGCTCTTGATTATCACTTGTGAGCACTTGATTATCCCCTTGTGCCAGACCCTCATGGGTGCTCAGTTTCATATCACTTAGGACAAGTAACACCCCTTTTTTCCAAGGGAAAGCCTGGGCCTCCCAGGCTGACTTCTCTGCAGAGTGAGAGGTTTGGTCCTGCCTGGCCACAGGGCTCCCAGCACCCACCCACACTTCATACTCAACCCCAGCTCTGCTTGCCTCCCTGTTCCTCTGCCTAACTGTCTCTTCATGTTGGCAGCTCCTCTGATGAAGACATCCAGTACCGTGTGGTGACAAGATTTGTGAATGAAGCAGTGCTATGCCTACAGGAAGGGATCTTGGCCACACCTGCAGAGGGAGACATCGGAGCAGTCTTTGGCCTTGGCTTCCCCCCTTGTCTCGGAGGTTCGTCTGCGGGCTGGCAAGTCTCCCTTCATCCTGGTGCTCTCATTGCTGCCTCTTTCAATAAAGTCCTGTTTCTCTGTCCAGGTCCCTTCCGTTTTGTGGATCTATATGGTGCTCAGAAGATAGTGGACCGGCTCCGGAAGTATGAAGCTGCCTATGGAAAACAGTTCACCCCATGCCAGCTGCTCATTGACCACGCCAACAGTCCCAGTAAGAAGTTCTACCAGTGAGCAGGCCCTCCCGCCCTGCTCCATCAGTGCACTAACCCAGCTGCCAGCAGCGCTGCTTCAAAAGTGCCATCTGGGTGTATCAGGAAGCAGAAGGAAAACCAAGCCTGGTCTTGAGTTTGCTCATAAATTAAAGTGCCTTCAGCTCTGACCATCTCCTTCCTGGTGAAGTCTGACTATGAATTAGAGTTTGTACTTCATATTGGAAAGTGGAACCCACTGTGCGCCTTTTCTAAACCCTGAAGCCCAAATCAGCAGCTAAGAGCCATCCAGAGCCACTTTTGTTGCCTGTTCCTCCCAGGAGGCCAGTGGTGGCTAGTGGTGGCGAGAGCATTTCTGTACCCAGCCCAACAGAACAACAGTAAAAACCAAACTATCACCCGCTTGGTTTGGTTCTTTTTCTTGTGTCTTTGCCCTTCTGGCTCAAGCCCTTCTTGAGGACATGAGCTGGAATAAAGCCCTGTCCCTTTGGAGTAGGAGGGTACTGGGGGAGTTCTAGGCATCTGCTTGAGAGAGACTGTGATACCAGAAAGTGGGACTTTTTGTGCCCACAGCCATTTAAGCTTAACTGCTTAAATGCTTTGACAGGGCTGCTCACAGGGGAAATGACCCTGGGTACTGAGAGCAGCAGGATTATAAGAGGAATGGTGTGCCAGGATGCAAAAGGTATGACTTTCCACAAACTGGATCTCCTCACTGTATGCTGGTACCCGTTTCCTTTCCTGGTATGCCTCATGCATGATTGCTTCTCAGCATGTTTGTGGCAATGTCAGAGTTAAACAGAGGAGATGACATTTCTCCAATGCAGGAGTCCTGCATGTGCTGGCCCACACCAGGGAAGATGAAAGATGCCTGCATGGAGGTGAGAGGTGGCCGAGTAGCAGCAAAGACCGCAGCCTCCCCCATTGCTATCACCTCATCTCTCCCCACCCCCGTCCCTGGTGTGCTGGGTTCTCACTCTTGTGTTCTGGCAGTAGTGCCCAGTTGGATAAACAGTGTTGGGCTCCTAACTGGGTCTGGCAGAAAGATCCACACTGAGTTACCAAGTGTGTGCAGAATCCTAATTCAAGTCCCATAACACTCAGTGCATTCTAAACTCAGATACTGCCCACTCTGCTCCATTCGCAAGTACTTAAAGCATTTCCCTAGTCCCAGCTCAGGTGGTGGGACTGGCAAGTGTGAAGTTTAGCTTCAACTCTACTAAATACTGGTTGCTATTTGCTAGGAAGGCAAACCATACAACAGTTATCTCTTGAGTTGGGATTTCTGGATGACCAGTAGAAGACAGACTTGATCCTCTGTACCAAGGCCTTGAACAGGTTTCTTATTCTTTTCTTTTTTTGGCACCAGGGATCAAACCCAGGGGCACTTAACCACTGAGCCACATCCCCAGCCCTTTTTATAATTTATGTAGAGCCAGGGCATCACTAAGTCGCTGATGCTGGCTTTGAACTTGAGATCCTCCTGCCTCAGCCTCCCAAGTTGCTGGAATTACAGGTGTGTGCCATCTAGCCCATGAACAGCTTTCTGTGTGTGAGGATCTGAGAGCCTCAGATGCCTATAATGCAAAAATATGAACTTGAGCCCAGATTTGACATCTGGGTCTTTTCTATCAATAGCACCAGGTGGGTGTAAATTATGTCCAATCAGTAGGAGTTGGCGGGTTCTTGTAGGGCAGCAGCCGGTGAGGTGCTTGCAAAAGGGAGTAAAGGCTGCTGCCAGCTGCCTCTGGGGACATATGAATAGACTACATCCACACACCATCCCAAAGCCATCTCTTGCCTGGAAGCATGTGCATGGTGCCCATTGGTCATTGTGACCCTCCAAAAGAAAGCTGTTGACACCCAGAATTCCACTTGCACTAATCTCCAGGGGCCTAGCATTTATTTCACTAGTCCTTGAGGATTCACGAAAACAATCTGTGAGAAAACCAAATGTTTCTGTTCCTGGGCTCTTTTCTGACTTCCCTCCCTCAGAAGGGACAGCAGCATGGCTTACCTATTCATAAAAAGAAACCCAGGAAATAAATATCTAGGCAGACTCAGTAAGGCAGAAAAGAAGGCTACTGCCTATGGGCTCTGACCCAGTGAACATTAGGAGTAGTGTGCTTCAGATTGTGGTGACAGTGAAGTTGGTGGCATGGGCTTGTACACAGTGACCCAGAGGTCTGGAACCAAGGAGGTCACCAGGCTCTAGAGCGAACGGTGTAAAGATCTGCTCTGAAGTACATGAAGGCGAGCAGGAAGAGTGAAAGGCAGGTTTTCCAAAGCTACCCTCCTTTCTCTCAACTAACTTCCTATGCCAGTAACAGAAAACCAGGGAAGGACACTAAATGTCCATCAAAGCCCAATGCTGGGGGCAGGAGACTGGCAGGAATGTGGGGTGGTTGACCACTGCTTGCCTCTAGAAAGAAGGAGCAGCTGACCGAAATCCACCTGCTCTTCCACAAAGCAGTCTTCAGAGACAAGTCTACCTGACAAGACAGATGGCTGGCTGTGATGAGGAGCAGGAGCTGGGGCTAGAAACCACTGGGGAACACCTGCCTCCCTAACTAGATAGGTCAGCAGCAAAACTGTGCTCTTCCTAAGTTGTCACCCAGAACAAGAACCCAGGGGTGGAGCCTCTGAGGTGTTGTGACACAGGCTTGTACTTGAACCTATGCTCAGGGCCAGGCACCTATATCATGGGAAAGCAAAGGGAAGGAAGGGCATCCCAGAGACACAAATCTCACCCATAACTGGGTCAGCCACAGGCCAGAAACCCACAGAGCACATAGGAGAGCGGGCACTTGGGGCATTTGTGCTTAAATTATGGGCCATCTTCCCTTCTCTCTAACCTGAACCTACAAGTTTGAGAAGCATGTAATTGTGAAGGATTGCTGCCGAGCAGGGGAAGGTGTCCCATCACTGTGAAGGCCACCTCTTGACACACCACCACCCTCCCCACTAAAAATCACAGCAAATGCTTCACCAGGTCTGGTACATGGTGTGCCTCCAACCCCCTCCCCATATACTCTGCACAAAGGCAAGATATCCCCTTGCAGGGATCTGAGCCCAGAAGACCACCCAAAGTGTCTCTCCTGGTAACTCTGAGTGCTGCCGATCAGTCTTCGTCTTGGAAAGATTCTCCCACAGGCAGGCCCTGCCTCTCAGAGTGCTCTGTCCCTGGCAGACCCACGACTAGTCCCCAGAGCCTCGGAGCCAGCATTCCAATAGTGCAGTGACTGGCAGGGCAGTTCATATCTTGGGCCTCCAGCCTTTGATGAACTGCATGATCTTCTTGACCTGCAGCTTGGTGAGGTGGAAGTCGTCGGCCAGGATATCCTCACTGAGCTGCACAAAGATGCTTCCATCAATACGCTCTCGGGCAAAGAAGCTCACCACATCCTCAGAGAGCCCAATGAAGCGCAGACTGCGAGAGACCTCCTCCAGGGAGAGCGCAGATAGGTCTGCAGGGGGCTGCCAGGAGGGGGCATCCCGGCCTCCAAAGCCTGGGGCTCCATCCCGGGGACTGGCAGGAGGACCCTCCATCCGCCCTGGGGTAAGAAAGAGTCGGGCTCCTCCTGCCTCAGGCCCCTGCAGAGCAGCTGGTGACAGTGAGGCAGGGACCTGCCTCAGCACCAAACCTTCTGGCTCAAAGGCTTTAGGGGGACCAAGTGGCGAAAGGCAGGGTCCAGGCCCGGGTGCTCCCATGACTCTGGGCTCCTGACAGCGCAGCAAACCGAGCTCTGGAGAACTGCTCTGCCCTAGCTCGAAGGGATCCAGAGGCTCCAGGGCTGGTTCTTGCCACTCAGAGGATGACGGAGAAGAGGGAGGAGCAGCTGAATAGGCCTGGCCAGGGGAGGCTGGGCCTGGGGAATGTGCAGGGCTGGAGGTAGCCAAGGCACTGGAGGAGGTTGTGGGCCCAGAAGAAGTGGCAGGAGGGCCTGTTGGGTAGGTGGGCCCTGAGAGGGGGTTGGGAGCTCCTAAGGGAGCAAAGCGTCTCTGGGAGTGGGAGGGCTTGAACAGAGGTGGACAGCCATGGTAGGTCTTGACTGGGGTGTCAGCCCCCAAAAGGGAGGGGGCTCGACCACTCAGGGGCTCTGCAAGGGCCCTAGAGGCCTGGCTGGGCTGTGTGGTTGTGGAGGGCAGAGGACCTGGGGGTGGGCGGCTGGAGGACTCGCCCACCTTGCAATCTCCCCAGGTGCAAGGGTAGCAATAGAGGGAGTAGGCATCTGGTGACGGGGAGCCACTGCCATTGCGGGAACCCGTGCTGTAGCAGAGACACGACACATAAGACACATAAGGCAGAGCAAGGCAATAAGGAAGGGGTCACACACAAGGCAGCAGACCACAGCTGTCAGTCATTCCCACGTCCTGCCAGCACACCAGCCCCCAGGCTGAGGCCCCTGGGACTGCCCTGTTCTTTCTTCCAGTATCCCCAACACAGAAAACACAGGTGGGAAATTAAAATTAAGTAAAATTTGAAAACTAGCCAGGAGCACTCCTGCAGGAGTCCCAAGAAAGAACCAGAGTCTTGCTCTCAAACCCTCCTCCTCACTTAGGAAGGAAAGGAGCAGAGGGAGGAAGAGACAGGGCAGGGCACAAGCCACACCTCCTACCTTTTCTCAGCACTCCCCACTTCCCCTCCCTTGATGCTCCTTAGGAGAACCCAGGACCAGGAGAAGGGAGGGACTCACCCATCCTGGAGGCCAGAGGAATAGTAGGAAAGGCTGGAGCTGGGTGAGTGGACAGGCTGCAGCTTGGGGAAGCGGGGCGGCACAGGGGGGCTGCCTGAGAGCCGGCCACTGCCACCCCGGGGAGGCACAGGGGGTGCATTCAGGAGGCGGCACTCCTCTTTCACCTGTAGGCAGAGAGCCATGACTCCACTGTCACAGGCAACTGACACCCCATATCTTCCCTTTTTCAAGTAGCTGGGAGAGGGTTGTCTGGGACTGACACTTTGCCCAAGTTTGCCAAGAGGCTGCCTTACCAGACACCCCAACTACCCACCCAGCCACTCACCACCCCAGCCTATTTCATCCACACACACTTTTGCCACAGTACACACCTATTCCCCTGTAAGTAGATTTTTTTTTAAAAAAAAAGGAAAGATAAACAGACATATTCCTTCCTCAATAAAAAGAAGAAAACTGTGCGATAGAGGAAACAAAGGTAAGCAAAAGTCACTGCCATCTGGATCCCTTCTTTATAGGTAAAGCACCTCCCTATGCTTTCTTATAGATCAAATACTTCCTGGGATGTTAATGGCATTATGGGTAGGGAAAATGTTCTGTGGACAATTAAGCTTTGGAAACTCTGTATTAAACAGGTTTCTTGGGGCTGGAGTTGTGGCTCAGTAGTAGAGTACTTGCCTAGCATGTGTGAGGTACTGGGTTCGATTCTTAGCACTGCATATAAATAAATGAATAGAAATAAAGGCCCATCAACATCTTAAAAATATATTTTAAAAAATTAAAAATGAGGGACTGGGGGGCTGGGGATGTGGCTCAAGCGGTAGCGCGCTCGCCTGGCATGCGTGCAGCCCGGGTTCGATCCTCAGCACCACATACAGACAAAGATGTTGTGTCCGCCAAATACTAAAAAATAAGTATTAAAATTCTCTCTCTCCCTCTCCTCTCTCTCACTCTTTAAAAAAAAAAAATGAGGGACTGGGGTTGTGGCTCAGCAGTAGAGCTCTCGCCTCACACGTGGGAAACCCTGGGTTGGATCTTCAGCACCACATAAAGATAAATAAATAAAATAAAGGTACTGTGTCCAACTACAACTAAAAAATAAATATTTAAAAAATTTAAAATGAAGGTTTCTTTTAAAAAGAAACAAGTTTCCTTAATGCAGGACTTTTCAGAGCCTTTAATATGCCACCACTCTGTGACTCTCAAGCAAAGAGATGAAGGCTAAGAATCACACTCAACATTTTCTGAACTTATTTCACCACTGGACCTTCTTTTTACTAAATGACTTAAAGGATTCCGGAAGCTTCCAGGTGACACTTTCCAGACACGCCCAAAATCTCTGAGGTTGGGGGCCTGCTGGCACCTTTGCTCCCACACCTCCCATAACACGTCCCCTGGTATCCCTTCCTACAAATACTCTTGAGCGTTTTGTCTTTTTCTCCCTTCCCGCACTCGTTTGTCACCCTCTGTCACGCACTCCAGGGTCATCATGAAAAGCTCGGCAGCCTCCTTTGAGAATACAGCTACGAAGCTGCCCTGGCAGCACCTTCCTCAGTCCCAGGAGGCTCACTCACCGCCTCTGATTTGGGAGGGACGGGAGGCGGCGGCGCTTCCGGCTCGCGACGCGGAGACCCCGCGGCTCCAAAACAGATGAGGTCTGGCCCTGGGGGCGGCCGGGCGCGGCCCTCCGCGAGGCTCTCGGGAGCCTGATGCGCCCACAGCTCCTCATAGGGGATCTCGGTGGGCGGCGCGGCGGGCTCGGGCACACCTGCCCAGTCCGGGCTCACGTACTCCTCCTGGTCGCGGTCTGTGGAGGGCGCGGGCAGGGGCGGGCCGAGTGCACGCGCGGGCCCCGGGGCGCGCGGCGCAGGCAGGCAGAGGCGCGCGCGGCGCGGGCTGGCGCAGTCGTCGGTGAGCTCGGCGGGCGCCTCGCGCACGGCTGTGGAATATTCGTCTGGGTCGAAGCGCTCCCGGCAGTAGGAGGCGCTGTCGCGCACCAGACGCTCGACACGCGGGTCCCCGGCCAGCAGGCCCTGCGGCAGCGCGAAGCGCGGTGTGTCGGTGAGCAGCAAGAAGTGCAGAGGCGCCGGGCCTTCCCGGCGCAGCGCCAGCCCCAGCACCACGGTCTTGGAGATGATGCTGACCAGCTTGTAGCAGTGGCCTTCCCGTACCGGGTGCAGGTCGTAGGGGTTGCGCGGCGGCCGGCTGGGCACCAGGACGTTCACTGGCAGCCGCACGCGCTCGATGATGGCGCGCACTGTGTGCTCGCCCTCCTGCATCTGAAGCTCCAGCGGGCTGCGCGTACTGAAGCGTCCCTGGCACTGGAAAGGCAGGCTCAGGCTCTCGTTGGTGCGGTGATTCATGCAGATGAGGCAGGGCATCTTGCCTTTGATGGGCCTGGCACCCCCACCGCCGCCCGCAGCTCCCGCGCTCCCTGGACCGCCCACCCCGGCCAGCGCCCCGGCGCGGCCCAGCTTTCGCAGCAGCGTGGTAAAGCGCGACCGCTCCTTGGTGGTCTTGGCGCACAGAATTTCCGCCTGGCCCATGAGGGTGAGCTCGTCGCCCGCGTGCAGTGTGAAGTTGTACACCTCGCTGTCCTCGCTGAACTCGCCCGACACCACCTGGGGATCCCACAGACAAGGCCAAGCTTGGCCAGGGTCCCAAGGAAAGCCACGCGGGGCTGTCCAGGTCAGGAGAGCAGCACTCCCAGGACTGAACCAGAGCAAGAGCACTGGACGGAAGGTCAGGAAACCCATGCCCCTTCCTGGAAAGGCCATGTGGAGGCTTTGCAACCTTATGGGTTGCCTGTGGGGGCCTTGAGTTACCTCATGTGACAACTCTCACTTCTAAGAGTTGCTGTGGGATTGAACAGACTTTAAGTACAGGGAAAGCATTCAGTAAATAGCAAACTTACTACATCATCTTTGCCATCTGGGTAATAATGTCCCACCCATCCAACAAGGCTGTGAAGAGCAATGAACTGATGGATAAGTAAAGGGTTTATTGGCCTGTAGTAGTGGCCCATGCCTGTAATCCCAGCTGGTGGGAGGTCGAGGCAGGAGGATAGCAAATTCATAGTCAGCCTCAGCAAAGTCCTTGAGGCCCTTGGCAATTTAATGAGAACCTGTCTCAAAAAAAATTAAAAAGGAATGGGGATGTGGCTCAGTGGTAAAGCGCTCCTGGGTTCAATCCCTAGTACCAAAAAGGAGAAGAAAGAAATAAAGGGTTTATTATCAGTGAAGAGCTTGCTGCACAGACTAGGACTCTGCACTGTGTGCCCACTACAGCCACACCCCACACACGCCAAGGGATGCTAGGGCAGCTGCAGTGCCAGGACAGGCTCTCCTGAAGTATCTCCAAGTCATGGCATAGCCCTCCCCCAAACCACTCCTGCTACACCACCTGTCCCAAGAAGTCCTTAGGCCCTGGTCTTCAGACATGGCCTGATTGTGCCAAAAGCCCTCAATGAGTTCCCAGAAGCCATTCTCCTTCCTAGACCCTAAAGGCAACTCTCCAGTCACTATCAGGGTTGTTCCTGAGGGAGGGGGCCATGGAGAGGGGCACCATGCACAGTGCTGGGAGGACTGACCTTGACGCTGAAAGTAATGGCTTCCATCACAAAGATGCGGTCAGGGAAGACACTGGCCACCTCCTCCACGCTGCTGAAGTATCTCACCGGCTCCCGCACATCCCGGGCCTGCTCCAAGAGCTTGAACTTCCCTGTACAGGGGGATACAGATTGCTGGGGTGGGCCTGCCTCCTTGAGGCCTGCATCCTAAGAGCCCCCTAGGCCCCTACTTCTTGCTACATTCATCTCAGCCAGTCCCTCTGGAACTCAGATGGGCAGAAGAGGAGGTGTTCTCTAGCATGGGTTCAGGGGGAGGGTCATCTAGCTCAAGCCTCAAAGGAGGAGGTGAGCAAACAGAGCCCAGCCAGCATCCTGGTATTAGCATCTTCTCCTGTCTTAGCATCTCCTCCTGTTTTAGCTTCCCGAGCTGCTGAGATTACAGGTATGCACCACCATGCCAGGCAGGGACTATGTATTTTGCTAACTCAGCAGATGCCCCAGGAGACAGACTTTAAAGAAGTGATGCTAATCTGTGACACTGACACTCATGTAAACTATCTCACCTCACTGGCCACATATCTTTTATGTGCCCACCCACATAAGCACAAGGACCACTTTGAACCACCCTGCCATTGGATACATGGCCTTTTCCAGTTTTTCTCTATAGAATGAGTCTAATACAGGTGAGCGAACAACAAATGGAGAGAAGATGAGGTGTCTCTAGTCCTCCTGATGATTGGCTCTGTCACAGTTCACTCACATATTTATGACACAAACATTAATGGTGCAGCCACATCTGCTGAGTCAGCAAAATACACAGCCCTTGCCTGGCATGGTGGTTTACACCTGTAATCCCAATAGCTGGGGAAGCTAAGACAGGAGGAGATGCTAAGACAAGGATCTGGCTGGGCTCTAGTTGCTCACCTCCTCCCTGAGGCTTGTCAGTCACCATGCTAGACCCTTTAAGGGGAACAACTCTGTTTAACTTTGCCCTCCAAGAAATTCAGACACAGTGGGTGAGCCAATAAGTACTTAATGATAGCAGGATGTGACAGGTGTTATACCAGACTCATGACAAAGGAGCTAGAGGACTGCTGGGTTGGAAGAAATCTGCCCAAGAGAGGGCGAGGAGATCCATGAGCTGCACCTTAAGAATCAAAGGCACCAGACACAGTGGCATAGGCCTTGTAATCCCAGTGACTTGGGGGGTTGAGACAGGAGGATTACAAGCTTGAGGCCAGACTCAGCAATTTAGCAAGACCCTGTTTCAAACCAAAAACTGGAGGGCTGGGGCTGTAGCTCAGTGGTAGAGCCCTTGCCTCACACTTGTGAGGCACTGGGTTCAATCCTCAGCACCACATAAATTAAAATAAAGACATAAAAAGATACTGTATCCATTAAAAAAAATAAAAACTGAGGATGCACCTCATTGGTAAAAGCCCCTGCTTTAATACCCCCATTACCAAAAAAAAGGTGGGGATGAAAGGGATTTTACAGAATGGGCATTCACATGACAAATAGCACAAGCCAAGACAGGGACACAAATCAGATCATCTGCCCCAAATTGTGCATGCCTGAAGGGAAGACAGGAGGAAGAGTAGAAAGAAACTGTATTTGAAAGGGCTCTGGATGCTGTGCTAAGGCAAGAGGACTTTATTCTGTAAGAAATAAGGAAGGTTTTGGACAAGGATAGACCATGATCCAGGTGAACTCTATTAAGATGAACAGAAAACCAGTTGGATAAACAGTTCAGTAACAAGTTCTGGAAAAGATCCAAAGAACAGGAAAAAAAAAAAAAAACAACCAAGAAAGAAAGAAAGAAAAAACCAGACCAGTGGATACTTGGAAGGGAGACTCCTCAGATTCAAATGACAGGAGAGATGAAGGAAGGGACAAAGGATACTCAGCTTAGAGGTGAGAATGGAAATGGCAACCTCCAGGTTGACCCCAGTGGGAACCTGGATGTTGTGTCTGCCAATAACTAAAAAATAAATATTAAAGAAATTCTCTCTCTCTCCCTCTCACTCTCTCTTTAAAAAAAAAAAAATACAAAATAGGCTTGGGGCTGGGGATGTGGCTCAGTGGTCGAGTACCCCTGATTTCAATCCCAAGAAAGAAAGAAGAAGGAAGGAAGGAAGGAGAGAAAGAAAAGAGAGAGAGAGGAGAGAAATTAAATGGGGAGAGGGTGCTGGGGTCAGGAAGCAGGAACTCTGCTACCTTACCACCCGTGAGCGAGCAGTCCCCTTCATCCGTAGCACCTCCCCCATATCCATCCATACACAACCTCCGCCCCAACCACAAGCAGTCAAGCAGGGAGAAATGCTCGCTGCCCCCTGTGGGGAGATTTGGAGCCAAGTCTGGACTGAAGCCTAGGGAGGATGTGGCAGGGAAGATCGATGTAACCATGGCACCCGGCACCGCCCCCCTCGGCCGCTCAGCACCGGTCATTACTGGTGGGAGGAAGGAAGAGAGACCTCCTGGGAGTGATGCTTCGGCCCTTGGACGCCTTCTCCTCCCCACTGAGGCTTCCTCTCCAGCCTCTCCCCACAAGGGACGCAGGGTCCCCCACCGCCTCCCTCGCCCTGCCCCTAATCCCTGCCCGGTTCTTCCCAGAACACATTTGCGCTGCGCTGATCCGCCCTTCCATTCTGAAGCACTTTGGGGGCTGCAGCAGGTTTTTTTTTCACCGCCCCTTCCCCCAGCAGCTGACCCCAGCTCAATAAAGACCCCCAGGTGTAGCTACGTGGCAGAGCGCTCGCCTAGCGCGCAAGACCGAGTTCGATTCCCCAGAACCGCAAATAGGAAGGGGGGAAATAAGAATACGGTGGATGAAGCATGTTTTAGAATCAGTCGGCCACCAACCAGCTGGGGGACCCTAGGCAAATTATCTAATCTCCCCAGCTGCAGTTTTCCGTCTGTAAAATGGAAGCATTCTACGTGGCTCACCCCGCGCACCTGCCCAGTGTTCCGCAGGGCACAAGTTCAGGCAATGCTGGGGAAGTGGCGCCCCCTGGGAACGACGCGCGGCCCCTCAGCGGGGATTCTCTCAGCGAAGTCAGGTCCTCCCGACTTCAGAGGGCCGCAGTGGAGACCCTGGTCACCAGGCAGCGTCGCCGGCTCGCCCTCCCTCTTCTTCCTTCCCCTCCCCCACTTGGCCGTGGCTCTCTCCGCGGTCCGCAGCCGGCTGCCCTGCCCTCGGAGCACCATTACTAATTCATCCGGAGGGCTCGGCGCCTGGCCTGCACTCAGCCTCCTGGTCAACCCGAGGCCGCCCACCCCGCCGCGGCCCAGCGGGAAGGCCGGGCTGGGGCGGCCACCCTCGGTAGGCCAGCTGTCGCCTATTGCGCCCACCCTACTCATGCCTACAGGGAGCACCAAAAGAGACAGATGACAGGGTTGAGGTCCCCTGGGCCCATAATTCCCGAGAAGGCTCTGTACCTTGGTTTCCCAGTTTTAATCATGCAACTGAAATGAAAGAAGTCCCTGCTGGAGTCACTTTTCTGTCAGTGAGGGCTTTACCCATCCTTTGCTTTATTCCAAGACCTGATAACTCTCCAGAGCTACTGCCAGATCCTGAGGTTAGGCCATTTCTAGCTCGAGGCGGCCCCCAAAGCCTGCAGTCAGGACAGAACCCAAAGTCAGGAAGCCACTGGGATAATTTCCTCACCTTTTCATGAGTGTGGGGAGGTTTGGCAGTAGCAACCCCACGCGGGAGGGGGGGTGTTGTAAAGAGCTGAAGTCTGTGAAAAGGGCTTACTTAGCCCTGTCCCAAATCAAGGGGAGGCTGATGGAGGTAGTGGCACCTGTCAATGGGACTGCAAGACTTTCCAGCTCAAAAGGTTCTCAGCTTTTGTTGGGAAGTCACGCTGCAGTGAAAAACACAGGACTAGCTACCGAAGATCTGGAGTCTCAGTCTTGGGTAAGTTAAGGGACGTGTCCCTTTCTCACAAGCTAGCTGTGAGGATGAAATAACTGCTCAACCCAGGGTCTGGAACAGCTGTCACATCCTGGCTCAAATGGGATACTCTAGGACTGGACCACAGACTCCCATCCCTCCCACACCAGGGACGACAGCCCTGCATTCTTGGCACCATGCAGCAAGAACCAGTCCAGTAGTCAAGACACCTCGCTGCTGGCTTTTACCTTCCCTTACTTGCTGTGTGACCCTGGGCAGGTCACTGTCCTCCTTAGGTACTAGGTTTCATCATCTGCAGAATGAAAGGGCTGCTTTTGTTGCTGTCAGCAGAACTTTTTCTTCAAACAAAATCTTTGCCCCCCCCCCAAATATTAGGGATGGAACCCAGGGCTGCTCTATCCCTGAAATACATCCCTAGCCTTCTTTATTTTTTATTTTGACATAGGGTCTTACTAAGTTGTTCAGGCTCCTAAGACGCTGAGGCTGGCCTAGAACCTAAAATCCTCCTGCCTCAGTCTCCCAAATTATTGGGTTTACAGTGTGCGCCACAGTGCACAGCAAACAATCTTATACAATCACCATCATAAATAAAAGACATAAAAGTATAATCCTAAATTCAAAGCTTTAACATTGCTTATAAAGCCAATCAAGGAAAGCAGTGAGTTTAACCCACAAACTAGGACAAGAGAATCAACGCTGACAGGGATCGCTAGGTTTCTGAAGGTTGATTGGACAATACTGAGATCCTGGCAGGAGATCTTTTCGATGGGGATCTGCACACACAAAAAAAGGTTAATGAGGCAGCTCAAGGCATACACTGAAGGCCTTCAATTAGGGGTAAGATTTAATTTGTAGTGATTTAATCATTACCTTAAAATCTATTCTAGGGCTGGGGATGTGGCTCAAGTGGTAACGCGCTCGCCTGGCATGCGCGGGGCGCTGGGTTCGATCCTCAGCACCACATAAAAATAAAATAAAGATGTCGTGTCCACCGAAAACTGAAAAAAATAAATAAATACTAAAAAAATTATTTCTCTCTCTCTTCTTTCTCTAAAAAAAAAAAATCTATTCTAAAATAAAATGTGAACAAAGGTCTGTAAACCTGAGAGCCACCTCTCCAGAAACCCAAGACTCCACAGGACAACAGGGACACCACTCGGCCCTAACTCCCACCCTGACCCTAACTACCACCCTGCCTGCCATGTCCTTCCTCGCTCACCTCTGCAGCTTCAATGAAAGGTGATCACCAACAGCTTCCCCTCTACCTCTGTTCTCCCAACCCCCAGCCCAAAGCCTGTATGTCATCTGTCCCTGGCTGGGCACACCTGGGTATTGCAGGGGGATGTCGATCTTGGGCCCTATGACATAGTGGCCCTCTTCCAGGGTATGAGCTGTCACCGTTGTCCACTGGCGGCAAGAGTGGATGAGCAGGATGTCTCGCTCACTGACGCCCTCAGCATATTCCCCTGGGAGAAGAAAGGACAGAGGAGGAGGGAAAGGAAGAGGGAACGTTAGGAGGGGCAGAAAAACAAGCAGGGTGAACTCCTCAGACCAAGACCCTGCCTGGTGACAACTCCCCATGATCTGATCCCCATCCAGGTCAGCAATACTCAAGGGACAGGTGGATGCCAGCTGTGGCTATTCGGCTGTGAGTCAAGCTTGAGCCTCTCAGAGCCCTGACTCCCAATGGGGCCTCCCCCCTAGCCCAGCCAAGGCCCTCATTCATCACAGAGTGCTTGCTGTCCTGGCCTGAGAGGAGCTGGAGACTCCCAGAGGATGAGCACAGCCGGCCTCTGCCCTCCAAGAGCCCTCAGGCCTCCTGGGACATGAGAACAGCAAGTTTGATGCACTAAACAGAGAGTGTCTGGGGACTCAAAAGAGTAGAACAGTGGCTTGGGCTGGGGGTGGAGTGAAGGAGATGAAGATGGGCTGGAGATGGGCTGAAGCTCAGGACCAAATTCACCCCAGTAGGACCCTTGGTGCCCAAGCCAGTGCCAGGCAGGCAAGGAGGGCCTTGTTGGGGGAGTAGAGAGGACTGAGAAGGGACTGTCCCTTGTGGGTCCCAGCTGTGAGAACTTCCTCAGAGCCACAGGTCATTGAGGTCAGGAGAATGGCAGTGTTACAGGAGCTGATTCCAGGCTTTCTCGTGGATAGCCTTTCCGCCCACTGCATAGGCTATAAGCCCTTCCAAAGGCAGGGGAAGAGCCCCTGATACCATACCCCATCTCACAGAAGTCCTTCCTCTCCTGGGGGTAGAGGGAGGCAGATTTAAAAGGCAGTAGTGGGGAGCCCAGTCCAGGAAAGCAGCACTGGGGCTGAGGCATTGGAGTTGGAAAGGGCCTGAGCCCAGGAGGCTGCAACCCCAGCAACGGTTTCCAGGGGAGCAGGACGGGCAGCCCAGCTTCCAGGAGGCTGATGGGCAGGCATCTCCTGGCTGCAGCTGGTGGACAGGGTGGGGGTGGGGGTGGGGCACTACTCCTTCCCAGTCCCCTCAGACACAACTTACTAAATTTCTGCCAGTCAGCCAGACGGGAAATGGTTTACTCTGATGGCTCAGCCTCCATAAAATGTGTGGCCTCCATTAAGTTGGGGGTGGGAGGACGGGAGTGGTATTCAAGGCTTGCAGTGTTCCTACTGGTGTGTGTGTGTGTGTGTGTGTGTGTTACAGAGAAGGTGTCATCTGAGTCTTCTTCCTCAACTCTTCACCTCCTGGGACAGAAGAAGCTCTGAACTCTACAATCTCTTGCTGGAGCTCCCCTGAGCCCCTCCCATTCTTCGGTAGGAACACAGGCCAAAGCCACACAGACATACACCAAGAGCCATGGGTCATGATCACCAACAGTTCAATCACAACAGCCTACAGAGACAGGTACTTGTCACCCAAACAACATCACTCAAATTCATGACGCCACCATGGGGTCCCTCCCTAACGCAGAGGCACACAGGGACCTTCAAGGACACACATCTGATCACATTCACACTCTAATGGTGAACACAGCCAGAGGCACACACTGACAAAACCGCAGGGCCACCACGCCATTGTTCACTTATTCTTTCATTTAATCCACAACCTTTGTTAGGCAAGGATGCCCTCCCTCTAGGAGCCTGCAGCTGAGGACAAGAAACTGACCATTATAATGGGGTGCACAGCAGGAGACAAGACAGGTGCCAACAGAGCCCCCAAGCAGCTCTAAGAGACTTAGGAGCTCAGAAAAAGCGCCCAGGCAGGGGAGATGACCAAGAGGTTGTGTGGGAAGTAGCCAGGAAGCACCCAGGACAGCATATCCCATTTACACGCAGACATACACAGCCTTGCTGCTGACACCGACAGTCTCAGGATCACAGGGTGACCATCAGTACAGATCCCGAGAACAAAAGTGGGACAACCAGGCGGCCCCGGCATGTGTGCTCTCTTAGGGAGTGCTCAGGGACACGCTGACGCTCTCTGATCCCACTCGGTGCCGCTGTGGGTCGGTGGAGGGGCTGCCGGGCCGGCGGAAAGGAGAGCAGAGGAGCCCTATTAGCATTCAGGGAAGCGAGTGTGCCAACGCGGGCCAAACCCCTATTCTTCTCACACACAAAACCCCCGGCCTGGCAGCCAGCCCCAGCTCCCGCCCCTCCCCCAGCCAAGCAACCCCTCTTCCCCCAAACGGTCCCCTCGATCCATGCAACCTCCAGGCGTCCCTTCTCAGGCCCCCATGTACGGTCCCATCAGCGGAACAGCCCGGGACCCTGGGTCCTATGGAGAAGCGGGTCCAGAGGTCGGGGAGTGGAAGGATCTTGGGGGGATGTCTGGCGGCAGGGCCCGCTCACTCGGGCCTCTCCGGAAGGTAGCCTGTCCGTCCGCAGGACCGGAGGCCGCTCTCCGGGATGTCAGAAGAGGGTGCAGAAAAAGTCCTAGAAGGGGCCAAACGGGACTAGGGAGTGCCAGAGGGGGAAAGACAGAGTAAGGTGCCCAAGGGATGCGGCAGGGTGAGGTGGGAGGCCACAGACAAAGGGAACGAGGGGGGCGCGGCCAGGGCGGGGGCTAAGGGGCAGCGGGGAAAGGGGTGCACCGACGGGACGGGCGCGGTGGCTCGACTGCACTCCGGGCTCCCAAGGGGACAGAAAACTCAATCCTGGGCTCTGTCCCCGGTTTCTGTCCTGTGCCGGTCCGTGGGGCCTAGGAGGCGGATCCTGGGCTCGTGGGCCCGGGTGTCCTGGGGAAGCGCTCTAGGAGCCGCGAGGGGTCAGCCCTCGGGAGCCGGGAGGGGAAGGACCGAATCCTGCACGCGGCGCCGCCAGCACCTGCAGAGCCCCGGGATTTCCCCCACGGACCCCAGGCCCGCTCCCCAGGCCCCTGGGTACCTGGTCCGAGGCAGGCGAGCGTGGGCAGGCGGCAGCGGCTGACGATGAGATCGAGCGGGAAGGCGCCCATGCTCCAGCGCAGGCCGGCCAGCCCGGCCGCCAGCTTCTCCATGACATGGGCGCCCCCCGGGGCCGCCGTCCCGGGGCCCCGACGGCCAGTCCCGCGCGGCCGGGGCTCCGCGCCCGCCGCAACCTCCTGGGGCCGCCGCGTCGCTCCAGGGCAGGCAGCCCCGCCGGGCGGCTGGCGTCACGTGGCCGGCCTCCCGCGGGGCGCCCGCCCCCTCCTCGGTCGGCCCCGTCGCCCCCGCCCCTCGCCCCGCCCGCGCCTGAAGCCAAGGCCCGCCCCCCTCCGGCCGCTAGCCCGCGGCGCACCCCGGCACCCAGGTGAGAGCCAGTGACCGGGGAGATGGGGGGGCTGGGAGGAAAACGAAGTTCCGAAGTGGTATCTGCGCGACCGGGTGGAGATCGGCCTCCCCTTCCCAGCGGAATATGTCTGGGTCCCCTTTACCCCCTGGAAGGGATGTCGCGCCCCTTGTGACACGAGAAGTCCCCCGAGATGGTCCTCTTCCATTACCCAAAACGCCTGTTCTGAGTTCGGGGGCTGCGAACCTATCTGTGGTTCCTGCTTCTAGCGTCCAGCTTCGCAGAGCCGGGCGAGGCAGCTTCGTTGTTCCCACTTCACCGTGGAGCAAACTGAGGCGTAGGAGCAGGTGACAGTCAAAACTTGAAACCAGGTTGACTGCACATCTCATTGCCTGGTACCACCCGCTGCTCCTCCCTGGTAGACCACTTTCCGAGTTCCTGGCGCCTTCTTACCCGGTTTTCACTAGTCCTTGGGTCCATTCTATAAATGAGGAAACTGAGGCTTGAGCTGGTAACCAGTGGTCAGTTCTCCCAGGTCGTTAAACATTTGAGTTACACCCCCAAGCCTGCTCTTCCTTTCCTGGTCTCCTCCTCCCAACCCTTTTAGGCTCCAGCTCCGGCGCTCGCTTTGGGAAGCCCTTCCCAGAAGCTGCCGGTGTGGCCTTGGCCTCGCTACCCATCCTGAGAACCCCTTCGCCCTCGGTGTGTCTGCGGCGCCCTCTGCAGGTAGTCAGTGGCTGGTGCAGGACTGTAGCGGGCAGGCCGACAATGCTACACCAATAAGAAGTGGGCCTTGGTGTACCTTGGCTGATCCTTCAAGGGCCCCATTGACTCTAGTCCTCAGCCTGGGGACCCTCGGGAGGGCCATACATACATACGAAACCCTCCCTTCTGAGGTGACAATATCCGGCCTGAACCCCAAGAGAAATGTCACCATATAGGATGAAAACTTCTCAGGAAAAGAGATGTTTTGTATGACTGGCCCCATCTCCACCTGTTGCAAGAGGGAACTGAGACTCTGAGAATGGAAGTGCTTTGCTCCAAGGTACACAGAGTGAAGGAGAAGAGCCTGACTGAAGGCTGGCTGCCACTCCATGCCACCTGCCCTCCATACCATCCCTCACCCACCAACCACAGGGGAAGGCTTTCTTTCCCTTCAGCCAACCCAGTGATTTGGGGTACCGTGGGGATCCAATTTCTCCTGGGGCTGGGGTGGGTGGGGTAATTCTCAGGGAAGTGGGAAGGAGATAGGTGGCAGAAAGGACAAAGAAATCAAGCTGGTAGTAGTGTCTCATGACTGTAATTCCAGTAATTTGGGAGAGGGAGACAGGAGGATTACAAGTTCCCAGGCCAGCCTCAGCAATCTAGTGAGGTCCTAAGCAAATAAATAAAAAGGTCTGGGATTGTAACTTGGTGGTATAACACCTCTGGTTTCAACCCTCAGGAGAGAGAGAGAGAGAGAGATGAAAATACAGGGCTCTAAGAAGGGAATAGAAGGGTGAAGTGGTGAAAAAGGCCAGTGAATGGAAAGGTTGTACCCTAGGTTCATTTTTCTTTCTACCCCATAGGGTCTCTCTTGAGTAGGGTGACCATATATCATCCAAACTGGGATGCTTTAGAGAGTAAAGGAGGTACTCACTGCCTCCTTGCCCTGCCAGGACAACAGGCATAACCCAGACACTAGACAGCAGGTGTAAAAGGGAACTGGGCCCTAGACGGAGACACCATATCTGCAGTGGCCTCTCTTACTACATACTGCTGACTTAGTGATAGACCCCCAACTCCAGCTGTGTCCCTCACATCCCCCAAGACATTTGTAGGTATCTCCATCTCAACAGTCACACCTGAGCTGGGTCCTCTTATCTCCTATCCAACTAAGGTCATCACATTTTACGTGGTCCCCCAACCTGGAAACATTCTCCCTAGCCCTTACTTTCAATTAGTAATCAGGCCCTGGCAACTCTGCTTCTACCACTTGCCATGGTAGTCTCAACCCAGCTCTGATTCCTCCTCCATTCTTCTCTCTGCCAGGCCACCTTTCCTGTAATCCTAGACTTTGGCTAAAAGGGACAACAGAGGTGTGAGCCATCAGATAGATCCACCTAACTGGATGGACTCATTGCCTCAGTGTTGTAGGGCATTCCAGTGCCTCTCCAGGGCTTTTTGTTGTTACTGGGATTGAACACAAGAGTGCTTAACCACTGAGCTACATCTCCAGAACTTTTTTTTCCAGAACTTTTTAATTTTTATTTTGAGACAAGTTCTCGTTAAGTTGCCTAGAGCTTTGCTAATTGCTGAGACTGGCCTTGAACTTGCAACGCCTCAGCCTCCCAAGTATCTGGGATTACAAGCACATCCCACCATATTGAGCACCAAGGCTTCTTAATTGTTGGGGACCTCCAGGGCCCTGACACAGTGCCTAGACACATATGTCCCTTCATTTACCCAAGATTCAGGAGCCCTGTAGGAAGCAACTTGACTTCATTTGGAATCAGAGATGCATCCATCTTTACTGGAACTGTCAGGAAGGAGGGCCCGGAAGGCACTGTGGGGTGGAAGATATTTGGAAGAAAAGCAGGACTGAGCTACTGGGTATAGCAGTGAGGGAACTAAGGGCCTTGGTGGCCTATTCTGTGCTTGCCCTTAGAGAGGGTCTGTTGGGGACAGAGAGGGTCCAAGGCCAAGGAAAGGGCTGGGCCACTGGGATCCTAGCTACGCTACTGTGAGCTCCCTCTGATGTTCAACAGTGACAAGAACAAGGTAGTTCCCACTGGGAGAGGGGAGGAGGAGGCAAGAGTTGTCAGCCATCTGAGGAGGGACCAGGGAGGAGTGACCACCCTAGCAGAGGGTTGGTCCAGAGGCTAGGCTGTGGCAGCGCTGGCCAAGTTCTTGTGTATGCAACACTGTAGTCAATGGAGGAGGGGACAGTGAAAGCTGCCAGTGGACTCAGGTTATATGTCAAACACCCGCCACACCCTGGCTAGAGGACAGATGTTCCTTTCTGGGCACATGAACTGGAGGAGGCCAGGGAACATTTGGGTGAGCACCTGGGAGCACTCTAGGAAATGTTGAATTTAACTTTTTATTTCAGAAAACACAAAATGTAAATAAATGGAGACAATAGCATTACGAATAAAGACATAGTCATCTCCCACCTTCAACATTTACCAACCCACGGCCGGTCTTATTTCCATATACCTGCTCACTCCCTCTCCTCATATTTGTTGTGTTTTTTCTTTATTTGCTGTTATAGTGCTGAGAACTGAACCCATGGTCTCATGCATGCTAGGCCAGGGCTCTCCCACTGAGCTACACCCCCAGCCTTCCTCATAGAATTTTTTAGAAATAACTTTAGCCGGGTGCAGTGGCACATGCCTGTGATCCCAGAGGCTCAGGAGGCGAGACAGGAGGATTGGGATTTCAAAGCCAGCCTTAGCAACGGCGAGGTGCTAAGCAACTCAGTGAGACTCTATCTCTAAATAAAATACAAAATAGGATTGAGGATGTCTCTCAGTGATCGAGTGCCCCTGAGTTCAATCCCTTGTACCCAAATAAATAAATAAATAAATCGCTTTAGTGAGCTATAATCCAGAGCATGCAATTCATCCATTTAAAGTGTACAATTCAGTTCTTTTAGTATACTCCTCATATTGTGCAAACTCCACCCCAGTCCAAGTTTTAAATATGTTCATCCCCCCCAAAGAAAACCCATGCCCATGAGCAGTCAGCTCTTTGTCCCATCCTCTCCCCCACGCATTAAGCAATCACTGATCTACTTTCTGCTTCTATGAATTTGCTGAATCCATACATTTTCATATAAAAGGGGTAACAAAATAGGCAGTGTTTTGTG